ATATATATATATATATTTATGTGTATATAGTACATACATATATCTGTATGTATTTGTATATTTTTGTAGGTGTATATGGGCGAGCAGAGCGCTAAAAAGTATGCAACAACAAGTTTTGTGCCCAAGCATTTAACGCCAAGCAGTTAGTATGTGTGTGTGAGTGAGTTTACGTGTGTGTGTGTGTGCACGCGACTGTTGCCGCTGGCCTTTAGCTATGCACAGATTGAAATTTATGACACAAATGGTAGCAAAACGGGACAGAGAGAGAGAGAGAGAGGGATATGTAGGGTGAAAATAGTTGGGCTTTAAGTTTAGCACGCGCCAGCGTCTGCTGCGACTCATATGCGATCTAAAAGCGAATCAAAGATTAAGTTATTTTCGCGTGTGTGCCAAAAAATATATAAAACAAACTGAAAATAGAAGGGAAATTCGCATTACAACACAAATTATTACAAATGATGCGCCGGCGGCTGACAGCTTGTTGGAGTTGCCAACATAAATCATGGCCAAAACATGGCCTGGCGTGGCTTGGCTTCGCCATGTTTTGGCTACATTAATACGCTCTGATAAACGCCCAATCATTTGCCAGATTGTAAGAAATAGACATTTAATATACCAAGAAAATGTGAGCAAGCTTAGTAGATGAGGTTCTATGACTTGTGAGTACCCTAGAAATATATTGATATTGAGTTTTAGTATTATATGGATAATAGCTGAGATAATAGCCTCAAGAAATATAAAATAAATTGAATACTTCACTAATGAATATACTAATCAGAATCAGTAGAATAAAAGTGATACTAATAATAATAATTGCAATTCTAGCCACTTGAATTCATCTTAGATACTTGACTGCGCAATATAATTTAGTTGCAATATAATTTATGATTTTCATAGATTCCCTTGAGGTCATAATGTTTCCTCTTTTCCAACATGGAGCTCCACTAATGGTGCCTGCAGGCAAAGTTTGGAAAATTAGCCGCCATTGAAGGCAAAAAGTCAAACATGACCTTCAAAAATTGCCAAGTTTTTTGTGCGTGTACCGAAACTAATTGGCTCACACACACATATATAGGCAAAAAGGGCATAATTGTTTTTATTGTTAAACAATTGTCGTAAATTGAATGCAGTGCGCATCTGTCTGCACAAATGGGAATATTGCGGGCATTATTATCAATGACAAATGCCTGTCATAATTATCGGTTAATGCCGCTGACATATGTTGGCCAGCATTTGCATAATAAATGGCCTCTGTGTGCTCGACTGCATCTTTGTGTGTGTGTGTGGGAGTGAGTGTGTACACGTGTGTTGAACATATGTTGTTCGTTTAACAAAATGGCAGATAATCAAATTGAATTTTTTACTTTAGTTTATTGCAGTTGCTCATGAAATATGGACAGCCAATTAAAAATTGAATTGCTATTAACAATATGTATATATAAATATTTAATTGACATTTACAAATGGCAAGTTTAAAGAATACATTTTCGTATGAATTGCAATCAAGTGGAATAAAAAACAATCCCATTTTAGACACATTGTCCATTTAACTTATTTATACATATTTTCACATATGCTAATTAATTTAAAGGGCTTAATTAGCTTATTAATTATTCATGAAATGGAATTTTTCGAGTATATTTTATATGCTTTATATAATCAATTACTGGAAAATTAATTCATTTGAATGCTCTCAATTTTATGGTAAAGTGAAATATTTACTTAAAATTTGCATTATTAATATGTTAAGGATATTTTTAATTAAATATCAACATAAAGTGAGAGAATATATATGTATATTATATAAAAGTTTTGTTGTTTATAGGGAGTTTTCAAAAATAACTTGAGCTGAACCTAAACTGTTAAAGATTGTTCAACAGACA